CCCCCGACCAGCCAGAAGACGATCCAGGGTCGCCTTCCCCAGGCGGACCGAGTCCCTGGGCCGAGAAGTCCAGGGGCGACACTGCCTGGCCAGGAAGTGGGTCTGCCGTCGGGCATACCCCCCACACGCAAGTTACAGAAGACGATCGACTCGTCCCTCACAAAGGCCGGGCCATTCCCACCCTGCGCCCCACACCCACACCGAGTCACCCACAGCCTATGGGAGGGACGGGCGATCGCCGCGGGCCTAGGCACTCCTGGTGGCAAACAATGTTCGATCAGAGCCCATTCCTGGCCCCACACCTGCTACAGCCCAAGGCCCGCCCAAGACACCCCCAGGCGTGCCCATTGGGATCCGAAACCAGGGTGAGAACCTGAGGCGGGCACGGCGGGGGGAGAGTAACCCGATCGGGCCATCCCGCGCCAGCTGCCTTCTTGCTCAGCACCGCGCCATGGTGGCGCTGCGTCGCGGCGACCGCCGCCGAGCTCACGCGCCTGGCGAGCTCCCCGACCTCCTCGAAGTCGGCGTGCAGCTGGGCCGCCAGCTTGGCTCTCTTGTCGGCCTCGTGGTTGCCGATGTGCCAGTGGGCCATCGTCCCCGCACGCTCCGCCGCGGCCTTGCTGGCGTGGGCTCTCGCCCAGCGAAGCTTGAAGCGCCCGCCCGAGTCGTGGACCCGAAACCAGATCTCACTCCAGAGCTGCGCGTACTTGAATTCGGGGCTCCTGCACCAACCAGGCCCCTGCCGAAAATCATCCACCACGTTTTTGCAATCCGTGACCACGCAGTGCTCGCCTTGGGCAGCCTCGCGCAGCACCCAAACCAGGGCGTAGAGCTCAGCAAAACCAGGTACAATGCCTATCAGGCCGCCGACGATGCTCCCACTTCCGTGACCATGGTGCCCGCCCAGCCTGTCCTCGTGAGCTCCACGAGCTGCGGGAAGAAGGCCGAGCCATCGATGCAGACAGTGCCCGAGAAGCCGGCATGCCGCAGGACGCCCGCTCGAAGACACGGTTCGTCCACAGCGGGGATGGGCGCCGCCGCCTCCAACCCAAGCGGGAAGAGGCACCTCACGAAGCCCATGTCCGTGATGTCGAAAGCAGCTCCTGCCTTGCGCACCTCTTCCAGGCCCATGTTCCTCGCCACCGTCGCCGTGCCCTCGCAGGCGAAGAGCCTGTGGTGGTGCGAGCCCAGGCCAGCACCGCACCATCAGCAGTCGGCCGAGGTGGCAGCTCGCTCCGCGCACAGGTCAGTCTGGGAGACCAGCCCGCCGCACACCAAGCTCTCGACCAGCGCGACCTGCTCCACGTCGCCCTGCGCCCTCAGCACGTCCAGCGCCGCCCGCACTGGGTACATCGGGGGTGGCCCTGCAGGCTGCCCGTGGAGGTGCGCAGGCACCGTCCGCAGCAGGTACATGTGCACTTCGACGCACGTCCTGGTTGATAATCCCAGGCATGTGTTTGATACTAGCAGCTTCCTGCGCAGCGATGGCAGCATCATCGCCTGCAGCTGACGAGTGGCACCGCGCCCTTCACTGTGCAATAATCAATGTCAAGTGTCCGTGGCGGCTCGGCGCTTTGCAGACTCTGTGGGCCGACAAGATTCCCATCCCGCCTCGCCGTGACACGAAGTATGGTCGGCCGGTAAGGTCGTGTCAGGCGTGTGGCAAGCAGCAGTTCGATTCGTGTTCGGGTCTCATATTTCATGCGTGCCCTCCTCCACTCCATGGAGACATCCAGGAACACTACAGTACCAGCTTCCAGAGCAGCCGCGGGAAGTGCGATGCCGACCACAACGCTCGGGACATCTAGCCAGGGCACTCTGACTGGGGCCACAGGCATCTCAGATATGATGTTCCAAAACCAACAAAAGGCCTCCCGACCTTCAGCACCGTTCTTTTCTCGGAGGTGCGACGTACAAGGGGCGTGGTGTCCACGGTCTCTCACCGATGGTGCAGGAGATGCTGTCAGCGCTCCAGGAACTCTGAGGTGTGGGTGGTCGATTTGAAGGGATCAGGGGCACACAGATAAAAAGACATTAGCCTGGCGAAGGACCCAACCATATGCAGTTGAGAGTACCGCAATTGTGAATATCTTCTTCGGTGGCGCTCCCTATGGGGCCACGAGCCGTATGAGGGGTGTGCCGAAATGCGTGGCAGTGTACACAACACGAACGAAGACGATAGGTCCGAATATGAAAGCTTGAGCGCGTGCGAGTCGGATCGCGAGCGAGTCTGATTATGAATGAATCTGCGCGCGATTGATTCTATTCGCATGAATGCGTGCATGGATACGCCCAGTGTAAATGTATGTATACGACTGTGAACAGTTTGGGTCTGCGTGACTCTCGGTACTCGTGACTCTGAGCGTCGCCTCTGCAGGGGGCTTCCCTGGGAACCCCGACGGCAGCGCCCGCGCGCCGCGACGCCCATGTCGGCACGCCACACACCTGGTGTGCGGGACGCATGCGGACGGCAGCACTGGGGCCTTCGGTGGAGCTCCCTGTGGGGCCACGAAACGTGTGAGGGGTGTGCCGAAATGGGTGTGCGGGACGCATGCGGACGGCAGCCATGGGGCCTTCGGTGGAGCTCCCTATGGGGCCACGAAACGTGTGAGGGGTGTGCCGAAATGGGTGTGCGGGACGCATGCGGACGGCAGCACTGGGGCCTTCGGTGGAGCTCCCTGTGGGGCCACGAAACGTGTGAGGGGTGTGCCGAAATGGGTGTGCGGGACGCATGCGGACGGCAGCCATGGGGCCTTCGGTGGAGCTCCCTATGGGGCCACGAAACGTGTGAGGGGTGTGCCGAAATGGGTGTGCGGGACGCATGAGTGGAGTGTGCCGAAATGGGTGTGCGGGACGCATGCGGACGGCAGCCATGGTGGCCTTCGGTGGAGCTGTGGGGCCACGAAACGTGTGAGGGGTGTGCCGAAATGGGTGTGCGGGACGCATGCGGACGGCAGCCATGGGGCCTTCGGTGGAGCTCCCTATGGGGCCACGAAACGTGTGAGGGGTGTGCCGAAATGGGTGTGCGGGACGCATGCGGACGGCAGCACTGGGGCCTTCGGTGGAGCTCCCTGTGGGGCCACGAAACGTGTGAGGGGTGTGCCGAAATGGGTGTGCGGGACGCATGCGGACGGCAGCCATGGGGCCTTCGGTGGAGCTCCCTATGGGGCCACGAAACGTGTGAGGGGTGTGCCGAAATGGGTGTGCGGGACGCATGCGGACGGCAGCATGGGGCCTTCGGTGGACTGGGGCGAAACGTGTGAGGGGTGTGCCGTGTGCGGGAGCATGCGGACGGCAGCATGGGGCCTTCGGTGGAGTGGGGCCACGAAACGTGTGAGGGGTGTGCCGAAATGGGTGTGCGGGACGCATGCGGACGGCAGCCATGGGGCCTTCGGTGGAGCTCCCTATGGGGCCACGAAACGTGTGAGGGGTGTGCCGAAATGGGTGTGCGGGACGCATGCGGACGGCAGCCATGGGGCCTTCGGTGGAGCTCCCTGTGGGGCCACGAAACGTGTGAGGGGTGTGCCGAAATGGGTGTGCGGGACGCATGCGGACGGCAGCCATGGGGCCTTCGGTGGAGCTCCCTATGGGGCCACGAACGTGTGAGGGGTGTGCCGAAAGTATGACGGCAGCCATGGGGCCTTCGGTGGAGCTCCCTGTGCACGTGTGCCGAAATGGGTGTGCGGGACGCATGCGGACGGCAATGGGGCCTTCGGTGGAGCTCCCTGCCACGGTGAGCCGCATGCGGACGGCAGCCATGGGGCCTTCGGTGGAGCTCCCTGGGGCCACGAAACGTGTGAGGGGTGGCCGAAACGAAACGCATGTGAGGGGTGTGCACGAAATGAGGGGTGTGCCGAAATGGGTGTGCGGGACGCATGCGGACGGCAGCACTGGGGCCTTCGGTGGAGCTCCCTGTGGGGCCACGAAACGTGTGAGGGGTGTGCCGAAATGGGTGTGCGGGACGCATGCGGACGGCAGCCATGGGGCCTTCGGTGGAGCTCCCTATGGGGCCACGAAACGTGTGAGGGGTGTGCCGAAATGGGTGTGCGGGACGCATGCGGACGGCAGCACTGGGGCCTTCGGTGGAGCTCCCTGTGGGGCCACGAAACGTGTGAGGGGTGTGCCGAAATGGGTGTGCGGGACGCATGCGGACGGCAGCACTGGGGCCTTCGGTGGAGCTCCCTGTGGGGCCACGAAACGTGTGAGGGGTGTGCCGAAATGGGTGTGCGGGACGCATGCGGACGGCAGCCATGGGGCCTTCGGTGGAGCTCCCTATGGGGCCACGAAACGTGTGAGGGGTGTGCCGAAATGGGTGTGCGGGACGCATGCGGACGGCAGCCATGGGGCCTTCGGTGGAGCTCCCTATGGGGCCACGAAACGTGTGAGGGGTGTGCCGAAATGGGTGTGCGGGACGCATGCGGACGGCAGCACTGGGGCCTTCGGTGGAGCTCCCTGTGGGGCCACGAAACGTGTGAGGGGTGTGCCGAAATGGGTGTGCGGGACGCATGCGGACGGCAGCCATGGGGCCTTCGGTGGAGCTCCCTATGGGGCCACGAAACGTGTGAGGGGCGTGCCGAAATGGGTGTGCGGGACGCATGCGGACGGCAGAGGAGAGGAGAGAGGAGGAGAGGAGGTGGGACGCGGGGCGCTGTCTCTTCAAAACGAGGACCCAACACCACAGGATGGTTTGGAAAAATTAAGGAAAATGAGCCGCGGTGCCCCCATGGAGGGTCGAGACAGCTGTTTTCGGGCCCCGGGCCTGCCCCCCGGGATATATATATATATATATATATATATATATATATATATATATATTATATATATAATATATATATGTTATACATATATACATATACATATGGCATGGTCTGGTGTATGCACTGGCAGGACCCTAATAACATGTTGCGTTGTATTGGCTTATTCATACCGGCCTGGTTATCAACCCTCGGCACAGGGTCGTCGGCAGGCCAGATGTTCAGCTGGGGCGACTGGAACGAGCCCGCCCCAACCAACAGGATTTGCAACTTTCCTGAAATTCGGTGGCGCCCCTCACGCAGATCGGCGGGGTCAGGGTCGACAAACGAACAGATCCCGACACTGCGTCACGGCGGCGCCCAGACCTCATGATTTAGCTTTTGCATCTCCCATTATCCGAGACAGGGGGCCGGCGGCGTGGGGCGAAACCCTTACGGATAAATCGACTGTCAAACGCACAACATGTATATAGACACAAGAGTAGCGTGATACATAAGAGTGGCTGTAGGTGTTTGAGAAGGAACGCACATTCACAAAACAAAGGTTCAAATTAAAGGCCAATCTAGGAGCCAATATAAGGGCCGATCTACGGGCGAAACTAAGAGACAAACTAAGGGCGAAGACCAAAACTTAGTTTTCTACGGGCTCCGGATGCTCAGGGAAGGGTCGGGCTCATTCCTGCCACGCTCGGCGCACAAATATCAATGCTGATTACGTTGTGCAGTTGTTCCTCCGCCTCAGAAATCCATCGAAATGCTGCGAATATATGAAATATTCCCAGCGCTTGTCGATGTCATAACAAGCTCCGCTGGCGCTTTCAAGGAAATTACGCAGCGCTTGGTGCGGCCCTCCCAGGCGCGTGTCTTGCACGAGGAAGTAGCTCCCTGGCGTCGCGAAATGATGGTAGGCATCAAGGTTTGCCTTCACGTGATCGTAGATGTGATCCGAATCCTCAATAACCATAACAGTATTGGCGCGCGACGCGGCCTCCGTAGCAATGGCGATGGCCTCAGGTGAATCTGGAAAACCATGGAAAAAACGTATGGATCCATTGGGGCCCCAAACGCTTGTTTCAGTAGAGTGCATGCAATGTGGGCAATGAATTTCGACCTCCTGATCGTTCCATTGTTTCAGCGGCACTACTCCAGGTCCGCTTGCTGGGTCTATAGTCTGCCGACCCCCGCATGCCAGGGGCAAAAAGGCGCGTTAAACATTTGACCCCCCCCCTCCCCCTGATGTTTTCCCCCACGACGGTTCAAAATCTCGCAGAAGGGGGGGGGGGCGGGGGGGGGGCCACGAACTCCACGGCGCACCCCAGGAGCCTCCAGAGCCTCCAAATCTATATTCCGTCGTCTCCACGACGGTCCAAGGTCCCGAATCGCTAAATAAGTGGCACAAGGCGCGCAAGCCGGAGCCAAGATGGCCCAGAAGCCTTGGAGACGCCCAAGGGAGGCCCGAGAACCTTCTCAAGACGGCCCCGAGAAGCAAAACGCATTGATTTTCTCCAGGTGCTTCACTGCGTTCGGGGTTCTCGCCCTTTCGAGCTTCCGACGCTCCAAAGAAGGGCCGAGAGGCTCCCAACGGGCTCCCGAGAGGCCCCAAAGACTGCCCAAGAGGCCCCGGCTCTTAGACGACCCCGAGACGGCCGAAGAAGGCTACAAGACAGCGCGAAGGGGGCCTCGAGAGGGAGAACACGAACCGAAAATACGAGCTCTGCGCGCCAAAAGGCCCCATTGAGGCCCCACAGGCCCTCAAGGCCCAAAGGGCCCCTGAGAGGCCCAAAAGAACCCTCAAGCACCCAAGACGCTTCAAAAGCGCCTCCTGGGTGCCCCCGAAAGGCCTCCCACGGGGTGGAAACGGACATCCAGACCCATAACCCAGGCACGGTGGCTCCTGCTTTATATCATCATCGTTTTTGAGTTGTGCATCATTTGGTCCGTCACCGTGCACTCCTTCCCTGAGGCGGGGCTCGACGGAATGGCGTCGGCCTCTCGAATGAGAATCCTGGCGCTGGGGTTATACTCGCGCATGATACGAGCATAGAAGAACGCACTGCCGCCACCTGCTGTGCCCAACTCTATAACGAGATCGGGCTGAGCCCTCCCGAGCATGTCCATGATCACAAATGCATCGGCAGGGTCCTGCTGGTTGGAAACCCCAAAGAAGACCTGACAAGAGCGCAATCTGGACGACTGGTACAATATCTCGTAGCCCATGGACAGCGCACTCACAGACACAATTCTGTTGTCCAGTATCATCACAACATCACCAAAATTGTAGCCAGAGGCTGTCCTTGTCAATGGCCCTGATTCGCGAAGTTTCGCAGATACGGCTGCGTTCTTGGATAAGCAGTCAGCCTTTAATGATTCATTGCTGCTAACACATAAATTTGCCCCTGATCCTGCCCCGAACGAATTCAACGTGGACGTCCGCCACTCCCCCAGGGCCTCTACCTCAAACGTGGCGCTCCTGTGTGCCACCTTTGGGCCACGCGGCTTGGGAAAACGAGAAGACAGCGATGCCCACATCGATCCTTCTTACGGCATTTGCGCTCCGAAGTACTCGGGGTATGCGACATGTATTATGTTAGGGGGGTGACTTGCACTAAAACCAACAAGAAACACAACCACATATGATGCCGCGAAAGCAGCAGCTCGTGTCCGCGTAGCGCATGCAGACCACTCGCGCGTCGAGGACCCCATGTCGAGGAATCTTTAGCGGAGTCAGAAGCTGCGATAATAGCGAAGCAGGGGATGCTGACGTCTGGGCACAAGTAAATGAAACCACTGCGCAAGATTGAGCACATCGGTCTCGGGGAAGATTGCCCGAGCAAAAATGGTTACGGACTCTCTTGGGCCCATGTTGGGGCCCCCTTCGAGCTCTCTTTGGCCCTTATGGGAACCTCTTGAACCGTCTTAGGCCCCGCTTGTGCCGTCCTGAAGCCCATTTGAAAGCCTCCAGGACGGTGTTGGGGCGATCATGGGGGCCTCTTGGGCCGTCATGGGCGCGGTGAAGACTAAGCGTCGAAACGTGTGCGAATGTCAACCAGCGTGGGCCCAAAACTGCTGTTGTCGTGCAAGCTGCGCGGTGCCATCTATGAGTTTCAGGCTATGCAGTGCCATCTATGTTAAGCCATATGCGTGGTGCAATCTATGTGGTGCAACCCCTGCGTTGGGAAATCGATGTGGTGTTCAGCTATGTGGTGCAATCTATGTGGTGTAAGCTATGTTGTGCTATCTATGTTGGGCAGTCTATGGTGTGCAAGCTACGTGGTGACATTTGAGTTGTGCAAGATAAGTGGGACAAGCTGCGTCGCGCAATGTGTGTGGGGCAATCTATGCTATTACTCGGTTGGAAAGGAGAGGAGTTGGTTGGGGAAAGAGGAGGAGAGGAGCGGAAGGAGGAAGGAGGCTCTCAACTGCATATGGTTGGGTCCTTCGCCGAACATAGGAGGCTAAGTTGGCCTCCTATGTTCGGTCCCAGGCCGCTCTCACTATAGTAGGCGGGAGAGAGGAGGAGAGGAGGAGAGGAGATGGTTGGGAACAAATCCCAGGAGTCCCCTTTAGTGTTCCCTATCGTCTTGGTGTTCGTATTCCCCCCCACTGTCCATATTGTCCCATCTGTTCCTGGGAGTCGCAGATTAATTGTGTCTGTGTGTGTGGTTTCCCCTCCTGACGATTTGCAAGTTGGACCCTGTGTCCTGGCTGCCAACACGCGCCCTGTATGGGCGCGTACCGTCTATAGTCCACATTGCTGGTTGTGCTGAGCGATCTGCCAACGAGATGGGGTTTACGGTCCACCCAAATCAGATGTGCGTTGTCTGGTAGTGCATCGTTGGTCAACGAAGGGTCCGCTTGGAACGCCAAACTAAAGCATGGCAGATCGAAGCAACGCGCGAGTCTGGCGAGATGTACCTCGTGCCGCACAAGCTCAGAGTGAGGAATTGCCACGCGTGCAGTTCGAATGGGCACCAGCTCATCGGCGCTTGGACGATCGTCCTGATTCGCCTCGTGAGCCGAAGATGTGCCCCGGCAATGCCTGCCCCAATGTGTTCTCGGCCTCGCACATGGTGGCAAGCACGCTGTCAGCGAGCGTGGTTGCTGGCCTGGGCCAGTGCAACTCCTGGGCTGTGTTGCAGGTTGTTCAGAACCAGAAGCGGGCTGTGGACCCCATCGCTGCCAAGGACCCCGACTTCTCCCAGGTCTCCAAGGTCGCGGTGCTCGAGCGGGCCCAGGATCATGATGTTGTATATGGTGCTCGTATTGGAGAGTACTGGCGTCGTAGGTGTAATCGAGTGGCCAGGTATGCTAGTTCGTTGGCAGCGCTTCGCTCGGGTACTGCTCGTGTCTGCTCGCCGAATGCTGTGGTCGCCAGGATGGCTAAAGACGTCTTCGAGGGCTCAAGTAAGGCATGGGTTAGGCTCGCCAATGGCCTATGGACACAAAAAAGTACCCACAAATCCCAGGATGTCCAATGTTTAATACTTGTTGGATGTTCGTCGTCCCCCCTCCACATATTTTCCCATTTTCTGGGGAATCGACGGTTGATTGTGTCTGTGTGTGCTGTCCCTCCTGAATGATAAAGTTTTGACGGCCCTCGAGGCTGCCGACCATTTCCGTGGCCCCTCCTCGTCTGGGGTCCTTGGCCTATGCCAAGGCGTGAACCCTTCCTAGCAGCAGGAGCAGACGAGAGCTTCGCGCCCACCTGCAGCGGTCTCTCCCATCCCCACTCCTTGTGCTGGACTCGCTGAGTCTGGGCATGATGTGTGTTGTGTGGGGTCCGTGGATTGCTGCCGTGAGGGTGCTAGTCCCTTCAGTTCGCTTCACTCGGTCAGGACTCCACGTAAGTTGCGCCACCAGTGCCTTGGGTTCTCAGAAAATCCAAGCACTCGGCGAAACCAACTCACGGTTATCGACAGGACCAGTCGTGGGCTCGAGCCCAGTTAGCGGGGGGGAGCAGGGAAAAGCTGCCCAACCCCCAACCACCTTGTGTGTCGCGTGTCTCTCGCCTGGGGAGGTTCAGGGCGTGGTTTTCCTGAGGCGCCCCACCCGTCTCCCAGGCTTCGCCTTTCCCGCAGCCTCTTGCGGTTACTCAGGTCTCCCGCCAGTGGGCATTCGTGTACTCGGACGCCTTCCTGCTGCTCGCTCCCCCCCTCCTCCTCCTCCTCCTCCTCCTCCCCTCCTCCTCCTCCTCCTCCTCCTCCTCCTCCTCCTCCTCCTCCTCCTCCTCCTCCTCCTCTCCGCCTCCTCCTCCTCCTCCGCCTCCCCCCTCCTCCTCCTCCTCCTCCTCCTCCTCCTCTCCCCTCCTTCTCCACCTCACCCTCTCCTCCTCTCTTCCTTTTCCTTACAGATAGCTTCTCCTCCTTCCTCTCCTCCTCCTCCTCCTCACCTCCTCTCCCTCCTCCTCTTTCTCTCTCTTCCTCCTCCTCTCTCCTCCTTCCTCTCCTCCTCCTCCTCTCCTTCCTCCTCCTCCTCCTCCTCCTCCTCCTCCTCCTCCTCCCCTCCCCCCCCCTCCTCCTCCTCCTCCTCCTCCTCCTCCACCTCCTCCTCTTCTTTTTTTTCTTCCTCCTCCTCCTCCTCCTCCTTCTCCTCCGCCTACTCCTTCTCCGCCTCCTCCTCCTCCTCCTCTTCCTCCTCCTCCCCCTCCTCCTCCTCTTCCTCTTCCATTGCTGTTCCTTCTAGATAGCTCCTCCCTGTCGCATCCCGAGGCCGGTCGAAAGGGATGGCTGGGCGATTCGCCTGAGACTTCCTCACCACGTATGACCCTGATGCTGAAAAATCAGCAACAGTGTCACAAAGGGAGGGCGGGTCGTTTTCAAAATGTGGCGCTCGCCTGAGCGCCGCGAACATTCGTTTTTTACGCAACGAGTTTCACGGACTGAGCGCGGATTGTCTTCAAAATGTGGCTCTCGCCCTAGCGCCGCGCACATTCGGAGTTGCACGGATTGAAGGCGGGTCCTCTTCAAAATGTGGCACTCTCCTCAGCGCCGCGCGCATTCACTTGTAAAACATTGCAAGAGTTTCACGGTTTGAGGGCGAGTAGTTTTCAAAATGTGGCTCTCGCCTTAGCGCCGCGCACATCGGACTTCCACGGATTGAGGGCGGGTCGTCTTCAAAATGTGGCCCTCGCCTTAGCGCCGCGCGCATTCGCTTGTAAAACATTGCAAGGGTTTCACGGTTTGAGGGCGGTCCGTTTTCATTACGTGGCTCTCGCCTTAGCGCCGCGCACATTCGGAGTTGCACGGATTGAGGGCGGGTCGTTTTCAAAATGTGGCTCCCGCCCCAATGCCGCGCACTTTGGTTCTTTGCATGCAGAGACTTCCACGGATTGAGGGCGGGTCGTTTTCAAAATGTGGCTCTCGCCTTAGCGCAGCGCACATTCGTTTTAACAACTGCAGGAGCTTCACGGATTGCGGGTGGGTCGTTTTCAAAATGTGGTTCTCGCCCTAGCGCCGCGCACATTCGTTCTTAAACATGTGAGAGGGTTTCACTGATGTTCCTGGCTAACGTACCAGCAATGTTTTTCTCGAATAACGATTCAGGAATTGTCAGGTCGAAACAATTACAAGGAATGGTTTTCTGGCGCGACTCAGGATCGTTAAGACGTAACAATTAGGTTAACTCTTGGCATTAAACTCCTGAGAACGGTGTTTTGATACGCTTCAAGATGTTTACACGGTTGTCCCCCAACGGGGCACTTCCCTCAGTGGGAACGACCCCTTGTGGGGACCTATGACAGAGATCATGGAGGAAGGGTGCAATTCAACATCGTTTATGGGTCTTGGGTTTAAACTGGTCCTCCTCCTCCTCCGCCTCTGCCTCCTCATCCTCCTCCCCCTCCTCATCCGCCTCCTCCTCCTCCTCCTCAATAAAATTATATGAATACTGGTGGCGTCAGGGAAATACTCGGCCCCCTCCGCGTAATGGTTCTTTACATACAAGAGTCTCGAGAAACTGGTTTTCGCTTGGGTTGTGCCCAAAATCCTGCTCTCGGAAACGCTGGCCTCATGTTCGGGCTACCGCTCGTTCCGAATCGTCGCCACGCCATGCTATTATGTCATGCTACGCGTTGATCTTCAACACCATGTTATGCCATCTAATGCTATGCTATGCCATGCTACGACATCTCATTGTGCGAATAGAGAGGAGATCTACGCCATGGTAAAAGATGGTAGGGAGGGGTAGGACGTCAGATATGACGCAAGCGCACCTAGCTTGTCCTCCTCCCCCTCCCCCCCCCCTCCTCCCCCTCCTCCGCCTCCCCCTCCTCCGCCTCCTCCTCCAGGAAGCCCAGAGAGGGAGTGGGGGGGACAGAGGGGACGCGGCAGGGGAGCGCGGCGGCCAAGAAGGCCCCAGGAGGCCCCAATGCACAACTCCTGCATGACGAAGGGGAGGAAGGGGCTTCACAGGCGCCACCGCCCCTGCTCGCCCGGGGGCCGTCCTGGCGAGTCTTGAGGCACCCATTGGGGCCACCTCGGCCCTTCTCGGCGCCCTCTTGGCACCCTCCTCGGCCGTCCGTGGGCCCCTCCAGAGGCCATCTTTGGGCCTCTCCAGCGACCCTCCGGAGGCCCTCCTGGGCCGTCTCTGGAGCCCTCTCCGGGGCCAGAAGACGTCCAGGGCGAGGGCAAGGGCGAGGGCAGAGGCGAGGACGAGGACGACAACGACAACGACGACGACGACGACGACGACGACGACGACGACGACGACGACGACCACGACGACGACGACGACGACGACGGCGGCGGCGACGACGACCACGACGACCCCGACGACCCCGACAACGGCGACGAGGACGACGGTGAGGACGCCGAGGGCCTGCCTAAAACAACGAGGACCTGCTGAGGACGACGGCGGAGCACGTCGGCCAGAGGGTGCGCTGGCCCGCGCCTGCGATCTCCGCTTCGCGCCGGCGCTTCAGCTCCGCGTAGGGCGTGACCTGCGGCGGGCGGGTCTCGCCACGCCGAGGCGGGGGGAGAGGGGGGGGGAGAGAGCTGAGGGGAAGGGAGGGGAGGCATAGGGGGGGAGAGAGCTGAGGGGGAGAGGGGGGAGGGCGAGGAAGGGGGAAGAGGGACGGGGGGGAGGGCGAGGGAGGGGGAGAGGGGGAGAGGAGTGAGGAGGGGGTGGGAAAGGGGGGGGGAACACTGGATGGTGGCAAAAGGCGCCTTCGGGTATCAAAGTCGGAGCTGCGGAGATACGTTGGCACGACCTCCCTGCGGCCGTCCTCGTTGGCCAGGGGAGATTGGAGCACTTCGGATACGGGTCGTCCAGGCCCCCCGGGCCACACGTGCCCGGCAGGCATTCCTTGCAGAGCGGGAGGTACCGCATATGGAGCAGGGGTGGTGGGATGACCTCTCGCCTGGCGCGGACGGAAGGGGGGAGAGGCGGAGAAGGGGAGAGGACAAGCTGGGTGCGCTTGGGCAACATCTGACATCCTACCCCTGCCTCCCATCCCGTCCCAGTACGCTGATTGCTTCTCTATCCGCGGACGCGTGGATCGTGCATAGAGAGGTTAATCATCATCATCATCATCATCATCATCATCATCATCATCATCATCATCATCATCATCAACAGCAGCCTCATCACCATCATCATCATCATCATCATCCTCCTCCTCCTCCTCCTCCTCATCTTCATCCTCATCATCATCATCATCATCATCATCATCATCATCATCATCATCATTCAGTCGGACTTGAAAGGACAGGACACGCGAGAGGACACAAGACCCTTCCGAGGGCCACACTGCCGCAGGAATGTAGGAAGCATGGGTCGCGAGACGCAGGACACAAGGGTACCCTTGATTTGGCAGGGCCGACCCACCAATCTGGGCCAACTGTAATCATCATCAGCAGCAGCATCAGCAGCAGCATCATGAACATCAGCGGCAGCAGCAGCATCATCTTCCTGATCAGCATCATCATCATCAGCAGCAGCAGCAGTAGCATCATCATGATCATCACCATCATCAGCATCATCGTCATCATTATCATCATCATCATCGTCATCGTCATCGTCATCATCAGCATCGTCATGGTCAACATCATAATAATCATCATCATCAGCATCATCATCGTCAGCATCATCATCATCATCGGCATCATCATCAGCATCGTCATCATATTCATCATCAGCATCATCATCATTTTCAGCATCGTCGTCGTCATCGTCATCGTCATCGTCATCATCATCAGCATCAGTATCATCACCAACATCATCGTCGTCGGCGTGGTCGTCGTCGCCGTCGCCGAGGTTCTCGTCATCGTCGTCATCCTCATCAGCACCCTCATCCGCAGCAGCATTCTCATTGTAGTCGTCATCCTGCTCAGCCTCAACAGCCTCCACCTCATCATCAGCACCAGCATCATCAACATCATCGGCATCATCATCATCGTCGTCAGCATCATCATTATCATCAGCGTCGTCATCGTCGCCGCCATCAGCATAATCAACATCATCATAAGCATGGTCATCATCCTCATTACTATCATCAGCATCATCACCCATACCAGTCATGATCACCACCACCACCAACATCACCGTCACCGTTATCGGCATCATCGACATCATCGTCCACCTCATCATCAATAGCAGCAAGAGCAGCATCACCATCATATTCATCGGCAGCATCATCATCATGCCATCACCATCATCAATAGAATTTCGCCAAACTCGCTCCATCATTTCGTTTACCTCTCTGGCGTCGCGCCACCAGGCGTGTCGAAGGGCGTGCTGGGCGGTTCGCCCTAGACTTCTGCGCCTCTTGAAACCGTGCAGTCATAAACCGTTTTTATACCGTTCATATAATACACGGATGGAGGGCTGCCTGGTTCCAGCATGTGGATCTCGCCTTAGCGCCGCGCATATTCGCATCGAAAGACCCCAACAGCTACCAGGGTCGAGAGCGGCCCGTGAACTATATGTATCCTTAGACTGAGGGCAGCGAGCATTCGCCTTAACATTCGAAAAGTTTGAAGGATGGAGGGCGGGGGGCTAAGACGTGGCTATCGCATGAGCGCCGCGCAGAGTCGTCTTGAACAATTCCAGCGGGTACAAAGATGGCATGCGGCTCCATTTCGAAACGGTGTTCCTGCTAAAATGTATGATCCTATACTGTCGCAGTCCTGGGGGCACATAAAAGGAATTCAGTAGTGATTGGGAATTGAAGTGATTAGTGCAGAGGATCATTCGGACGGGACGGAGTGTAGCATCATCGCTGGTTGATACATGCTGGATTCATTCTGGCAAACTCATCTGCTTCTCCTCATCCACAACAACAGCAGCACAGTCATCGTCGTCACCAGCACAAAGTATGATTATCAACCTCATCACCATCATCATCGTCGTCATCGTCATCTTCATCGTCAGCATCGTCATCGCCATCTGCATCATCGTGGTCATCGTCGTCGACATCCTCGTCATTGTCATCGTCATGCTCGCCAGCGTCATCATAATCAGCATCATCATCTACCTTACCATCATCAGCATCATCACCACTGCCGCCACCATAAGACCTCTTCCTAATCAACATCCTCCTCCTCCCACTCCTCCTACTTCTCCTCCTCCTTCTCCTCCTTATCATGATCAGAACCACCACCACCACAACCATCATCATCGTAATCACCACCACCACCACCATCATCATCATCATCATCATCATCATCATCATCATCATCATCATCAGTAATCATCATCACCATCATCATCATCATCATCATCATCATCATCATCATCATCATCATCATCATCATCATCATCATCATCATCATTCATCATCATCATCATCATCATCATCATCATCATCATCATCATCATCATCATCATCATCATCATCATCATCATCATCATCATCATCATCGTCATCGTCATCGTCATCGTCATCGTCGTCATCGTCATCGTCATCAGCACTCCCCCGTCCTCCCCCTTCCCCGCCTTCCTCCCCCTCCCCCCCTCTCCCCTTGCACTGCGAGGCCGTGGCCTCTTGACGGGGCGCCCCCCTCCCCCTCTGCGCAGACAGGGCGGAGGGGCGGCCGTCTCGTCGCACTGCGCGTGCAGGCTCTTCAGCACCGCCTGCACGGCGTCGAGCTCCTGCCGGGGGGGGGTGGGGAACGAAGACCGACCCTAAGATCCTGGCGCTGCGTAAAGGGCAGAAAACCCACCCCAATAATACAATCATTCAAACACGCGAAGCCGTTGAGTAAGCAAAAGAAATCGAACAGGGCAGGGCTGTTTAGTAAACGCCCAGGGCCGCGTAGTAAACGCCAATTATTGGGCCTGGGTGGTTTGCCCTCCCTTGAGCGTTTCCGCCTGGCTTCGGGCCCCGGGACCCTCACAGATCGATCCGGCTCAAAAAAATTGGCGCAGAAAGGTGGGGTCCAGGGCTCCGGGTGATTTTCTACAATGTTTTTGGACGCCCGACATGGGTACGGAAAAAATGGGTACAATGCCCGCCAACAAATGTCGTCCCAAACCAGCAGCGGCCGCTGTTGGGCAGGCGGCCTCCTGTCTCAAATGGACACAGGCCGCGGCGACACCGACAGCGAGTCCTGTTGCAATTTTCTGCAACGTCTGATCTGAGAGGACCAGGGAGGGCACAGATCAGGGGTGGCTAAAGGTGCCCCCCTGGCCCAGGGTACCTCCGCCTTTTAGCCACATCGTGGAGCCCCGGGGGCCCTCTGGGCCTCGTGAGGGGCTCTCTGGAGGCCGTGGGGGCCTCCCGGACAAATCCTGGAGCACCGGGGGCCGGGGGGCGCTTCTATAGCAGCACCCGAACCGAGGACCGAGAGGAGAAGATCGCGAGCAGAAGCGAAGCGAAGCGAGCGCCGGAGTCGCGCGCGCTCCTCCAGGGAGCCCGCCCGTGCCCATGCGGAGCACGGCGCGGAGGCCGTGGCCTCAAAAGCGTGACACGCGGGCGAGCTCACGCGGTAACCACCCTTGGGGGGGAGAGGGACCCAGACATCGGGCCTCGACGAAAACGAGACGGAGGTGTTTCGTGGTTTTTGGCCTCTCGGGGCCCTCACCGGGCCTCGGGACCGTCAAGAAACGATTCGGGATGAAAAACCAGTCCCGGGGAAGTGGTCGGGAGGTCGGGGGCCCGTGTCCCGAAAAAATAAAGACGGCGGATGTCTGGGGAGGATTTAGGTTCCTGGATGAGATGAGGATCGTGGGGGGCCCTGGGTAAGTCAAGGGTTAGGTCGGGCCTGTCCTCCTACAGGCGGATTTTGGACGAAAAATAAAAATTATCCCGGCAAAGCAACCTAACAGCGATGTGTAGGAGCATATCTGGAAGCATTCCCCTTCAGATTCAGATGAGAATCCAGTTGTAGCATTCTACTGTTTTCGCAGTCGTAGTCGCATTCGCGATGACAGTCGCAGTGGCAACGGCAGTCGCAGTCACAGCCTCAGCCTCAGCCTGCCTCAGCCTCAGCCTCAGCCTGCCTCAGCCTCAGGCTCAGCCTGCTTCAGCCTCAGCCTCAGTCTGCCTTCAGCCTCGGCGTCAGCCTCAGGCTGCCTCAGCCTCAGCCTGCATCAGCCTCAGCCTCAGCCTCAGCCTGCCTCAGCATCAGCCTGCCTCAGCCTCAGCCTCAGCCTGCCTCAGCCTAAGCCTCAGCCTGCTTCAGCCTCAGCCTCAGTCTGCCTTCAGCCTCGGCCTCAGCCTCAGCCTGCCTCAGCCTCAGCCTGCATCAGCCTCAGCCTCACCCTCAGCCTGCCTCAGCCTCAGCATGCCTCAGCCTCAGCCTCAGCCT